AGTCATACCTGTGTTTGGAAGAGGCATCTTTAGGAATCTTTTTGTTCTCATGTCAATGTAATTGCATGTGGCCTTTATCATTGCATTAAAGAGTTTTCTGGAGTGCCCATAGTCGCCAACATCAACTCCAGCAGCATATAACTCTGCTAGCCTTGTCTCATAATGTAGAGCTGCAGATTTTGATTTTACAACTCCCAATGCTGTCCTTAATTGGTTTTTTACTACCAATGACCGTCTTTTTTCTCCTTTTCTCAATAATTTTGCATGCTGTAAGGCCATTAGATGCCCCTCTGAGGACAAATGTTTCTGTAGCTTGAACTTCAAATCAAACCATTTTTGGCAATGTCCAAAACACAAGTTTGAATAGGTGTCAAAACTGAGAGTGAGTCCAGTTGCTAATGACCCAGCAGATGAAATATTACCTCTTCTCGAAGGAGGTCTCTTGTCATATGGGCTTGCAATAAAACTGCTGCATGGGGTACATTTGAGAATGTGACCCATGCCTTCGTCTTTAATAACTTTAAAGTCTGGGAAGTTTTCCAAAAACTCATTTAAATTTGAGGAATTTAATTTCGTATCAACAGTACTGGATGATGTTTTTGGCCCATTCTTCTGAATTATTTTGGCAACCTTCTCAGCAATTAGATTGGCAACAGAGTCAAACGAACTTTCATCAGTACCAATTGATTGTTGTTTAGGAACTGCAGAGGGCAACAAAGATTCCAAAGTTTCCTGATACAGATCTGATTTCTTTGTTATATCCTCATTTGTTTCGAGATGAGTCCTGTAAGAAACATGAGAAAAAAGAAATTTGTAAGTCAAGCTCTATAAGAAAGGTCAACAAAATACGAGAAACAATAAAGAAGAATTTGGTATTCAAATGATAAACTTACATTGGCGATTTTGATAAAAATGTTGATTCTTCTGCCAGACTGGCTGTTAGCTCAGAGTCATTCCTGTTAAAAAGTTATATGCATAAATATTGTGCTGAGAAATTTTTTTCATCCTAGAATAAATTTTTGGAAAAAAATTAGGTTATATTTTAGCACATTTTACACATTTATATATTTGTTTGTGGGTACTGGTAAAAACATCCAAAAAAGGTCTCAATGTGGCTGCGAGGCACGTTTGCAAATTCTGATTGGCTCATGGGGTATGGAGGGTTTTGGTCGCTCAGCCAATTAAAGAGTTGGAACCCATGTTTGCTGAGAAGTCAATTAAAGAACAGGTGCCTATAGTTTGTGGAATGCATGTATTAAAATAAACAATGATATCACTTTCACAGAAACTTTGTAATTTTATGTTTTCATACAAAAATTCATCTGTTTAATATGTCACACAGATAACAACAGGTATATCGATCATGTTACCCAATATTTGCAAAATTTGTAGTTCAAATATGCAGAGGGCATACCAAAATTCGGAATTAGTATATTTTAGGAATTTTGCTTTTAAAGTAACTTCAAGACAATACTTTATGGAAAGGCAAGCAATCTATATCCTCTGAGGTCAAAACACATTTTTCCTTATGATACATGGAATTGTATTAAAACAACTAAAATCTGCAAAAATTGATATTTTTCAATAAGAAGAAAATCCATACACTTTACTGATAACATCCGTGCCTTCTTCAGTTGAAGATTTTTGCGAAGGTTTGGACTCTTTCCACACTTTTAAATTTTCACTGAGGAAGGAAAGAATGATAATCAACAACACAGTAAGAAACATGAAAAAGCTCTCAAATATCAGATAAAAGGGAAGTATAGAGCCAGTTTGTTAAACTTTTAAACATGGTTTGAACAAATTCAGAGGGAAATTTTAAAGTTCAAAGTGTGCAAACTGTTTTCTCAAATGTGGGATATTTATCTTTGGAATGCAAGTCACATACATAGCAATCTTGGTGTAGATAGATGACCTTACAAACTTTCACCTGATTTTAAGCTTGCTTATCTCTGAATATTTTCTCATTGCCTCAGCAGCAGCAATTGCATTTCCTGGAACAATGTCTTTGGAAGAAATATTGTGATTTCCATGGGAAGTCTCCATATGCTTCTTCACTGTTGATTGATTAAATCTGCTTAGCCAGAACTTTGGTTTTTGATCTTGAAAACATTTCAAGCAAATGGCAATTTGAGTTGTTTCATATCCAGATCTGACCCTTTTTGGCTTTACTTCAAAGATGGAGTCTTTGGGTTGTCTTTTGAAATGCTGAAGGAAGGCTAAAAGTTTTGCATAATTATTACACATCTATATAATCCAAAATAATTATATGAGAAATTTCTATTGTGTGCAAAAATTAAATGTAAATCAAAGTTCTGTTATTGAATACAAATTTTGATGCTAACCCAAATAATTAGTTACAACAAAGGAGTTTCAGCTTACATTTAACAGCACCTCCAGAAGAATCATTTGACGCAGCTGAGGAAGAACAGTTTTTACATATGACTGCTGACCCATACCCCTCCTCTCCATCAGTTTTTCCACATGGTTTAATTGAGTGGCATGGTTTTTTACATATTTTACACCAATGTGAGCCACATTCTCTTTTGCAAATAGTACAAACAATTTCTGAAAGTGTAAAAGCATTATGGTAGAAAAAGAGTAAGTCATAAGTGGAAATGATTGAACAGGGAAAAAGCTAAAAAACAATATACACATCCAGCAAAAACCTCTTTGATTTTGGATATCGGTCGTTATTCCGACCACTGATAGTATGCCTAAAATGTCTCCTCGTTTTTAGAAACAGCTACATCTACATATTAATCAGAAAGATCCTTAAGGCGTCACCATGATGGAATCAAACTCACAAGCCATAGAAGTGGCGAGAGGGTATAAAATTTAAATGTATGGGAATTGGCGCTGGAGGAAAATTTTGAATAGAAGTTTGATGTAAATTCAAGAAAGGTAACTTACCATCCATATAAGCATCTATTCGGACTTTCTCCAAAACGCTTTATCGAAATCCAGATATCAAATAAAACACGAAACCATAGCGAATTTGATGGTGATCACGGTTGCTAAGCTGTAATGGCGGGCAAAACAACAAACCGTTTCCTCTCATGGGGCCCAGATTCCTAAGCACGCATATTTGTTGTTGGTGCTGTTCCTGGCATGGCATTGTTGTGGTGTGAAAACAACGTCGAAGTTACACCATAAATTTGTGGAAAGATCTTTATCACTTGTTTGCGCGGCCACATTCACGTTTGATGAGTTTGCGCGGCCACAGTCGTGTTTGAATAATTTGCGCGGCCAATTTCGAAAAGCGCGCAGACAGGTGCGCGGGCAAGATATTGCGGGCGCGCACCAAAGTTTCCAGTCTGGGAAGAGTGTTGGTGTTGGACTAAAATCCTTGCATGCCTTTTAACGTTTGCTCTTTTCAAAGCCATTTCAAAATTTTACCACCAAAAATCGTTTGCAAATGTCGTTGAGCATTATGATAATAATGGTGATGATGTTATGTATTAAAGGCAAGGTCAGGAATGATGCTGATGGTACATGGGCCCAAAACTGCAAAGGCAATAAGTAGAAGCATATTTTCCTGTTCTTGTTCACTTGTTAAAATCATAAGTTCTTTTGAAGATGTAGTGTAATGGCTTATTGAAAATCTTATATTTAAACAGTCTGCTCAAGGCTTTCATATGTTGGCCTACGTCTCTATGATGTTAGGCCAGCAGAAGCCATACTTTCTACCCTCCATTATATCTCAACCTCAAGAGATTGGGACATAATATTTCCACCGAAAAATGTATAGAAGCATTTACTAAAGACCCATACTCACGTTTAAGTCTTTGCTGACACGAAACAGTGTGCTCACCAATTAATCTTCTTCGACAACCTTCAACTAGGCTATGTTCTTTGAAAGAGAAATTACCACATTGCACCATGCGCTTTTGCGAGATTAGATCCCAGTCCTTATTCGCCCAAGTCCTTTTACTCATGTAAATATGGCGGACAGACTCACGCAGCTTCAAGATGCAGTTAATCAGGTATTTTCAAATTTTCATTCAAATTAATCGACAAATGATACTTATTTAGGCAAATTTTTTTCACTGAGATATTTTGATTTTTGTTTAACTGAGTGGAATGGCTGAATGGGATGGGAGTTTAAGTTTGCAATGAAACCATTTGCATCATCAAATCAAAATGGCTTCAAAATTTTTGAGCGATGTTGGGCCGGAGCTGTACGGCTCATGCAAATTGTACGGCTCATGTCAAATATGTACGGCTCATGTCGAATTTTCAAAATCGATAAGCAAACACAAAACCGTAGCCGTACAATTTGCATGAGCCGTACAGCTCCGGCCCACCATGGTTGAAATTTTTTGCAATCAGAAGTCAACAGTTTAAATATTCAGATACTGGCAGGGACATGGCCAGATAAGTTGCCTCTATAGCCTAAAAACAATCTTCCTGAAAAGGGAAATATTGCCGATGTCAAAATGCTCTTATTTATACCACAACAAAAACTTATTCTAAAAATTGTTTAATTTGTTAAGGGTGTTATTTTCAAAATTGTCTTGGATTTCTTTGTACTTTATAAGGTTCTTTCTGCATTCAAGTATTTTCATTCTGTTTTGCCAGTTTCAAGCTTTTTCTTAAGAACAGTCTCACACAAATAGACCATGGCTCTTGTGATTTCTTTCCCATGCAAGTGATTGATTCAGGTAAAGATAACAAATATACAGCCATGTGTATTTAAAAATTAGCCTTGCTGTTAATTATCAAATAAACAATGCTAGAAGCATACATAAGTTAATTTGGTAAAAGGTAATGTCAAATGAAAACAAACTGTTACAATATTCTTTATGCACTCCAAGAATGTTTTAATACACAATTTAAACCTGCTGCACAATTCATGTACACCAAGAAGGTCATATATATATAATATAGCCAGATGGTCATAAAGAATGCCTGTAAATGTGTTTGTTTATCAAATATTTTTTCCACACAGTTCACGGTTTTGGGTGGGTGATCAAAAACCTGCATGGTTGAGTTTACATAGGTTCTTGCGTGATCACAAGTGATCTATCCTTTCATGAAAAAGGGCCTGTTATCTCTGCAACTCATTCTCATACTCATTCTCTTCTTTGGAGCCCTCTATGCACACAAAGTTACTTGAGTAAAAATGTATTCAGCACTAATAGAAGTAAAGCCAATAATTTCCAATTATTTAGACAATATTTATTATTTAGGCAGCAAAGAAAACTATGCTTTCAGCTACTTGTTTAGACAAAGCTTCACTACTCAAAGAAAGGCATAGCTCTGAAATCATCTGATATGTCTGCTGAAGCAAGTGAGCATGCAGTTAGTCAAGTAAACTTAAACTGGAAGATGTCATCTTTGCACACCAAAGTATTTAATTCTGGAATAATCTCCCATTCTACTGTTACAGCTTGCTGATCATTTCTGCAACAGTGTTGGTATCATACAGCAAACTGCCCCTGCAATTTTGCAAGAATCTAAATCAGGTAAACATTGGCAGATTCAGACTAGAGCAGCTGGAGCATTTGCTTCAGTCAGAATTTAAAAAGTTTTACTTTTCTCTCACTGTTGCTTTTTTGAATTTAATTAACTGGTAAGAATGTTGCTTCATTGCCTCCCATATTTCCAGTCACAGACTTGTTAAGCCTGAATCTGCTTGTTTACATTCAGGCCTTTCAATTCAAAATTTCAAGCACGCTGTCAAGCAAGCCATATAATAATTATCAAGTGGTTGAAATACCAAATACGGAAAATTTTCACAAAAACAGAAGATTAATCAGTCCTTTTCGTTTAGCGCGTGCGATCGCACCCGCACACGCCTGCACACGCGCAAGTTAAATTGCGCGTGCTTTTGACCACACGCGCAAAAAAGGTGTTTTTGCAGTTTTCTGTTAAAGGGCCTCTCCAGCCAAATTTTGCACTTGCAGTTTATTGGCAATTTTTATAAAGAAGTTGAGCCTGCTAAATCACGAATTCGTTATTTGTTTCTCGATATTTTTTTACGGTTTGTGAGATATAAGCTCTTGCATTTCGATAATTTAATTGAATTAACCGACAAAAATATTTGGTTTGGTGACACTGTGACGCAATTTTGACGTCACAGTGTATTTCGGATAGTCTCGCCTCAAACCGAATCGAACGACGTCGATTCGCAAATTGAACACTGCAAGTGATGGTACTCTCAGTTCTGTTCCACCAGCTTTTAGTTTGAGCATTTCAGACACCAATTCTGAAGCCTTTAGTTGTTCATCGTTTCTGGAGAACAACTGAAGTGACAATTTCGATTAATTATACGCGAGGGAAGAGCTGGAACAGGAACTGGAACTGGATGCAGTTATCAACGCGTGACCATGAGTCCTTCACGCTTCGGTGGAAGATATACGAAATTCATGGCGATAGGGAGCCGCACATTGTGACGTCAGAATGTCACCAAACTGATTCGGCTTTTGTCGTTTTTTCGGAAAGGTGCAACTGTAAAGCCTTACAACTTTTAAACTAATTGGAATTTTTGAAAAACAATGACTTTGTCATAATACACGCACCAGATGCTAACTTTTAAGTTATTAAAAAAAATTTTTTTTGCTGGAGAGGCCCTTTAACATCAATTTCCCATGGTCTCATGATTGTTTATCCTTTCCCTTGTTACTTGATTCGCACTTTTGACCACAATATGATTTTTCCAATTTTCGGAAGTGATGTTTGGCTTTTGACTGAGTGCTCGATTCAACTTAGCGTCTCGTCTTTCAGCTAAGTCGCCATTAGCATGTTAAGTGTAATAACTGATTTCCTGTCAAAACGTAATTAGGCCCTGAAAGCAAGTAGCTGTTGGAAACAATTTTTGCTTGCTCTTGTAACTTTGGAGAGTGACGACGACTTTTAAAAGATGGCTGCTAAGGGCAACAACATCTGTTATGTATTGATTAATTTTGAGTTTTGCTCTTGCACGTATTCGAGTGGCTTTTTCCTTTCTTGCTCCTTTTACCAATTTTATCAGGTTTGTACTTCAAATTTTCTTACAAGTGCGATCGCACGCGCAAATTTGTTTACATGTGCGATTTGCCACACACGCGTAATTTTGCTCACGAAAAGGACTGATTAATTGACATATCATTAAACAGTTAGACCTGTTTTGACTAAGGATTGGTAATGGAATAATGAAAGTAATAGAATTAGTTCGGTAACAGGGCATCAAAGTTCATTGAAGAAATCATTGAAAAATTCATTGAAGAATTAGTTCAGTGATTATTTTAATAGGAAACCATTTTATAAGGAACCTACTTGGTAGAAGGCAAGAATATTGAAAAAAACTTGTGCCACTGAGGACAATCTGAATATATTTGCACCTTGGCATGGGCAGAGTGGTGCAAATGTGAACAAGTTGGAGCACTGCAACAAGATATCACTCTAAAACAGGCTTTGATTAAAAATTTGCAAAAATGTGTTAGCATATCCAAAGAAACAAACAGCAAATAGATGACTTTGTAAATTAGCTTTTGTCTTGGCTATTTTTTTCTCTTGTTAACTCATTAAACAGTCAGTAATGCATTGCATACATAGCAAGGCAACTATTGTATGAACTGAACAATTCCATGTAAACATACCTCACATCCCAGTGGTCCTCATCAGTCAATGTCTTGGCAAGTGTGTTGATACAAACGTGGCACTGGAAGCTGCAGATTTCAATATCAATGTTTTTGAGTAATTTAAAGCAAGCTAGTGGGTAACTGCAACAATTTCCAATCGCACAAGTAAGGCACAATCTAAAGGGCATAGTCAAGCTGTTTAAGGCTAGCATAAGCGTGTGGCCAATAACACCTTTTGCGCTAATCAAGATTTTTGGTAGATCTTATCCTGATAAGTCACTCTGCAATGTTTGCCAATAGAATCATTAAACTAAAAGTTAAACATTTTTACAGTTTCTGGCCGCTAAAGAACACATAATTTTATTTCACCTTTACACTATTTAGACAAAGTATTTTGATAACTGGAATAATGTTTTTACCTCTCTTTGATTGCAACAAAGTTTAATCAGGATAATGTTATTGACATATTTTAGTTTATGATTAAAATATTACCATTCTTTTTTGTTACACAAATTTGGCATACTAATTCAAGCATGTGAATTTTTGTACACAATAAAAAGGTTTTGTTTCATTGCATACCAGAAATTATTTTACATTATTTCATATTCCAAATTTAAATCCATACTTGCTCACTACTTTCAATGTGTTTAAGTATTCAAGGGTAACTTTGAATGTTAGCCAGTGTTTTGCATTGTTTTAGGTGGAAGTGGAAGGCAACAAGATGTCAACCAAGAAAGTGAGTATCTTGCATTGTAATTGAAATACATAAAATTGTTAAGATCACATGGATGTTCATACTTATGGGATTAGAAAGCAATTAGATACAGGGGCACCAATTGTTTGAAAGCAATAAGGACAAAAGAGATTGTTCATTGGCAACAAAAGATTTGTTCATTCTTTGATGGCAAGATCCCCCTTTGTTATGCACAGGAGTTGTCATACTCCTCGAGTAATGTTGGACCTTAACAATATAAACACAGGCTTGTATAAAATCAGTTTTGACACAGTTTTGAGGAGCCAATGACTTTTTTTATGTATCTCCTTTAGAACAGATTAGCTTTTTGCAGAAAACATATAGTTTTCCTAAAGCCTGCAGCTTTTGCACTAAAAGGGTATGATCTTGAATGTATGAAGAACAAAGCTTTGAGAGTTTGCAAGAGATTTGGTTGTGTATAATCAATTGTATTGAAATAAAGATGCCCATAGCAAGAAACTCAAAACAACTAAATAGAGGTTTTGATAAGACTAAACATTGCATAAAGTTCTGGTCCAGGTCACAGAAATGTGAAAACTTGATGATTAATTACATAAAAGCAACACGGGGACAGGCAGTTGTTGGCCAAAGGAGGGAGAGAAAAAATTTTCTTCAAGTAGAATTTTTCTTGTCTAAAATGGTTCTGTTATAACGATTACATGATGGATGCATTTTTAAAAGTAAGAGACTATTATGGCTATGCACAAGTTATTGGCATATATTTGCGCTACTGGTGTCATAGTTAGACCCAAGTTTTTTCTCGCAGAAAATATTTCAGTGTCTAAGAGACTGGATTCTTGGCTCCACTTATGATTTTTGTTCCAAAACATTTTTAAAAAGAACTTCAATCTAAAGGAAGCCTTCGCTTTAAACTGAAGCTTTGAATTATTTTAATTAATGTTCTTGTGTCTATTTGTAGATCACATTCCCCTGTTTGGATCACTCATAACAAGAACTGCAAAGGACATTGATTTCCTCATTGATGCCTTGCCAAGCAACCAATGTAGTGCTGAATTGCAGGTGATAAGGATATTGTGATGATTTTACCTAAATTAATTTTAGATGATTTATGAATATTTTGTTATAAGATATGAAAATCATAGATATTTTCATCAAATGATCTGGCTCAAATTGTTTTATGCTATTTTGAGAGTTGTGTGTAATTGTTTCAAGAAGGAATTAAATCGACAGCGATCTACTGAGAAAAATTTATGACAAGTTCTATCTTGGTATAAGTAACAGATATTGTAGCCCCCACACCCTATAGATATTGTATCTTAAGACTTCATTGTTATCTTAAAGAAGGTAGGTTTGAACATATTTATCTTCTTCTAAAGGACAGTATAATCTAGAAAACAATGCTTTTGTTTCTTTGCCAAATTTACTTATCAAATCCATGGCGTTATCAGAAGTGGCTGATGAAAATTTATCAGGAGTGGTCTATGCAAATTTTTCTTAAATCTGAACAATTTTTTTGCGGTACAGAATTTGAAAATGGCTTTGAAAAAAGCAAACATTTTACAACATACTTAAAGCTTTTTCGTCTGACACTCCTCAGAGCATATAACGTCAGAATAGGTTCCGAAAAAAACACGTTTGAAAAATATATACCCAGTTGTGGATCGAAATAGGCCAATCAGAAAAACGCAAGCACAAGACCGGTATAGTTGACCAATCAGTGCCGCGAGCCTACAGAAAAATTACCAATGGAGTCCAAGAGAGAAAACGAACTCCTTTTGTCTACACAATGGCGGCTTTTTCGTTTTTATGTAGATTGACTCCAATACTGCTAGATGGAAGGACGACCGGGCTCTGCCAATTATCCGAAACATGTCGTCATTATAGAGTTTTGCACAATCTGGGTTGTCTAAAAGATGTTGACCAATGGCAGAATCATTTGTTTTAACAGTGTTTCTAGACCTACAAGATCGAGGAGGCTGTTCTCTTTGAGGGGCAGTTTTCTTTCGTATGTTGGAAGGAACATGCTGTTTTATCCTATCCCCCAATCTTTGGGTTGTGCGCCCTACGTAGCCAGAATCACACTGGCACGTAAATTCATAAATGACGGAACTTTTTTGTTTGGTAGGGACGCAATCCTTTTGAATGGATGGAAGGGCTCTCCTAGTGCTGTAAACAATCCGAGGATTGACAGCAAAGAAACAATTGGTTATGGCTTGCCTAATCTGACTCTCGAATCGCAAGGAAGTGTTACCAATCCATGGTAGTTTCAAATAAACTGGGCACTTTTGCGGACCAAACTTTTGAACAGCCGAAAAACTTGCGATCTTCTCCTTAGTATAAGATAAAATGACGTCTTCAGGATAGCCGTTGTCCAAGAAGATCGTTTTGAGTTTTTCCAGTTCAGCGTGCAGTTTAGATTTCGAGCAGATCATAAGTGCCCTATGTACTAATGTTTTGACAAGGTTGACTTTGCGTTGTTTGGGCAAAATGAATGCAAAATAAGATCACGCAAGTTTTTCGGCTGTTCAAAAGTTTGGTCCGCAAAAGTGCCCAGTTTATTTGAAACTACCATGGATTGGTAACACTTCCTTGCAATTCGAGAGTCAGATTAGGCAAGCCATAACCAATTGTTTCTTTGCTGTCAATCCTCGGATTGTTTACAGCACTAGGAGAGCCCTTCCATCCATTCAAAAGGATTGCGTCCCTACCAAACAAAAAAGTTCCGTCATTTATGAATTTACGTGCCAGTGTGATTCTGGCTACGTAGGGCGCACAACCCAAAGATTGGGGGATAGGATAAAACAGCATGTTCCTTCCAGCATACGAAACAAAACTGCCCCTCAAAGAGAACAGCCTCCTCGATCTTGTAGGTCTAGAAACACTGTTAAAACAAGTGATTCTGCCATTGGTCAACATCTTTTAGACAACCCAGATTGTGCAAAACTCTATAATGACGACATGTTTCGGATAATTGGCAGAGCCCGGTCGTCCTTTCATCTAGCAGTTTTGGAGTCAATCTACATAAAAACGAAAAAGCCGCCATTGTGTAGACAAAAGGAGTTCGTTTTCTCTCTTGGACTCCATTGGTAATTTTTCTTTAGGCTCGCGGCACTGATTGGTCAACTATACCGGTCTTGTGCTTGCGTTTTTCTGATTGGCCTATTTCTATCCACAACTGGGTATATATTTTTCAAACGTGTTTTTTTCGGAACCTATTCTGACGTTTTATGCTCTGAGGAGTGTCAGACGAAAAAGCTTTAAGTATGTTGTAAAATGTTTGCTTTTTTCAAAGCCATTTTCTTAAATCATTTGCATCAAGATGACACAAGGGCGGATAAATATTTTCATTGGCAGACCGAAATTTTTCTACATAATGTCATTATCAAGAGTCATCTTTTGAATGTTCAGGTGTCAACTCACAATCTCGCTTCACTTGTGTATTTAGGTGCACTTGTACGAGGTTTTCAATGTTGTTAAGGATAAGATAATTGTTTGTCTTGTAATGTTTTCATGGGATCTTCTCACTTCAAAAGGTAATGTAATTCCCCTTTCATTTAGGCCATAGAAAGGCCTGTGACTTTTCATTTCTAATTTTCAGACTACTAGCTTAGAACGCTTGGAGCAGGAAAACAAGGAAGCTGGCGAGAAGTTGGAACAAGTTATAGATGAAGGAGGCAAGTGAAATAAAGTCTATTTCTTTAATGAAATATATTCATATATGTGTTTATATTCTTAGGCCCAATTCTGGGATATTTTCAGCTCTTTATTTGCTTCAAGGATCATTATCAGACATTTTTACTTCAAGGAGTATTTTACTGAAGTTGCTTTTAATATGTCATGTTTCCCCTTTCCTTGCAATTTTCGAAGAAAGGAATTGTTAGGGGTTTTACTGGAACGAAGTCATAGTTAATATTATATAAATTGTGCATTATTAGATTATATTTTGATGTCCACTTCTCTTTTAGAGAAACTGCTTGCACAGATCCGATGCGCTTTAGCTGAGATCTCAGACTCCCTACTTAGTAGTTCCATCAAAAAGTCAAAGGAATGACTTTCTGACATCAGAGGTAAGAGCAAGTCATACCTTCCTTTGTTTTGATCGTAACGTGAACAAATTGCAGCGTATTTGGCTGAATTTCTACTGAGCTTTCCCTTACCGGCTGCTATTCTTTGGAATAACATTTAGCTCAAGATTTATATGTAGTGCTGAAGAACATCTCTTAATAAATGCCGATCTCAAGCTTGAGTAACTTGAGGGTTGAGCGATGACAGAATGACAGATCTATTAAGGTTTATTTGCTCAACTCAACTTGGGAAATAATCGTCCTATCATTTTGGAAGAAACCCCCCCCACCCCCTCATTCTACACGTGATACAGCTGATGCCATTGTCTTAGGGTACACTTGAAGACAAAATACAATTTTGAAGCTTTCTTGAGTTTTTTAGAAATAACATGGAAGCAACCCAAGTTTCATCGTCACTTAGGTATTCATATCTCTAGAGTCCAGAAAATTGTTTTTCTTCCTCGGGACTGTACTGCAAAGCTGTTAAAACCATCTATGCGCAAAATACTCCCTCTTTTCAAATTATAATTAGGACTTAATCTTTTTTCTTTTGCAACTTCATATTGGCCTTAAAATTATGGCGCTGTTGCTCTTTGGAACTCTTTCTCACAATCATCCAGTAAGGTATTTTCAGTCCTGTCTATTTTCAGTGATGAATTGTCGATGGAAACAGGCAGCCTCGACAAGTGTCTGGGCACAAGTTTTCCCTTGATATCTGTACTCACTTCATAAAAGTGAAGCTCAGATTGACAAAGACGTTAGCTGCCTTTCTATTGCAATTTGTCAATCAAACAATTAATTGAAACTACTCGAAAAAAAGCTTGTATCAAAGCTTGTGCATTATGGCGAACTGACCTCTTTCTTGTACCGAAGGTTTTGTTGTGATCTGTTGTCATTGTTATTTGAGATGATACATCCCCAATCTCCATATGCAAGATACGAGAAATCTGAAGATAAGATTAAAGAATTAGGCCAGGTGATTGTGATGAAACTAGTGATGTGCCACTACAACCTGATAATGATAAATAAAGTGCTATTGTGTACAAGAACTGAAAGTATCATTTTAAAACTGCGGCAAAATTTGACTTTTCTCGCCATTATACCGCTTGTTTAGGGACTCGACTTTATCTCTAAAGGTTTCTTTGGTGTCGAAACAGCTGCAAGTTCTTTTCTTCACTTTACAGCCAAACCAGTACAGTAGTTTTCTTTTCTCTTGACTGTGATTTCATTTTCGTTTGTTAAAGAAAACGTTTGCCGTTGGTGTACCTTCGTTATTAGTGTCTGTCACAAAATTAGAGACTTAACAAAGACCTTTATCTGCTATTTGTAAATGGGTGCTTGCGTCAAATATATCCATCTATTCGGTTGAAGAAAACGCACAGTGTAGTGCAGGGTTAAGTTCTGCTTGCGGGCTCCTTATCGTAGTTTTTTTAGATTTGTCTATAGAAAAATATAAGTGCGAAGCTTCTAACAATATATTCTACTTTCTTCGTTATTGATTGTAAAATTTCAGACCCCCAAATATTCCGACTTGTTAGATATTTTGCTGTCAAAGGCGCAACATGATTGGAATGGAATAATGGAATAATTCAACAATGGAATAATTCTTTGGAAAGAGGAAAAAAATTCTCTTTAGAAAGAGGAAAAAAATTCTCTTTGGAAAGAGGGAAAAAATTCTCTTTGGAAAGAGGAAACAAATTCTCTTCGTCGTACGAACAATCCTTTCGAAAGGAGAAAAAATTCGCTTTTTTGTACGAAAGTTTATCTTCACATAAGCTTGCCGAAAATCATAGAAACCATGCCCAATGATCAAGAGGTGGCCTAAATTATTCTCAATTCATTGCTATGACCAGTTTTATTAATGCAATACCAAGCAGTGAAGGCCAAGGAGAAGATTTCAAACGCATATTTTGTAGTATACCTTGTACTATAGAGAATGCATCGGATTACTTACATCAAAAGCTATTTCCTCGAAAATTTTGTAAGGATACATGGCAAGTCCCAGAAGAAGACTTCGATAAGGCGTTAAAGAAAACAGAGCACGCCATTGAAACTATTTGGAAGAATGCTTTGTCAATGCCTTTGGATGATACCGATGCCAGGTTTGTGAAATTCGGAATCTTGAGTCTAGCAACCGGTTTTTTCCATTCAACGCAGAAATCTATTCTGGTTTGTCACTTGGCTAGATTCAATTCAGATTCAGATTACTTCGCTCGATTCAATAAAGATTCAACCTGATGGTGAACTTGTCTGCAGAGAATGCGTGAAAAAATCCAGACAATGTTGATGATTTTACTGACTCATTTTCTAAATACGAAGTAACAATGGTGTTTAAAAACTAGCAGTTCCTTTGAACAATTTTTTACGCTAAGATAATGTTTTTACGCTAAGTCAAGGATGCCGGAACGACCAAGGGGCAAGGGGGCAGGCTTGAATCAAAGGGCATTTGCAAAATAAATCCAAGCTACCAGCATTTCTTTCGTAGCTGTCTTTTGTTTAGAACTTCCGTAGGCATCTTGAAACTCGACTAACTTTTGGCATAAGAAATTTCTTTACAAGTTTTGAGACATGCCGTCACAGATATGGCAGTACAGTCAGAATTTCTTATGGATCTTTTGATAGTTACAAACCAATGGCACTTCCATGAAAAGGGTACTTTCGTCTCCCTTGCCCCTCCTATCAAAAGGCAACAGGGTCGGTTGACCCTCCGCGCCTCCTTCTCCGGCGTTCCTGCGTTAAGTCAATGTATACGGTGTACACTACCAGGACAAAGTATTGCAACACCAATGAAGGTGGTCAATGGTGGATCACGCAATAACTTTTGTTGTTGTCTGATTAAGCTATTTTTTAAACAGCCAATGGCGCGCAAATAAGACAGCGCATTCAATTGAGCGTAAATTAGAATATTCCATTTTAATTTTCAAAAAAAGCAAACATTTCGCAACATACTAAAAGCTTTTTCGTCTGACCCCTCTCAGAGTATAAAACGTCAGAATAAGGGTCCGAAAGAACATGATGGAAAATATATACCCAGTTGTGGATCGAAATAGGCCAATCAGAAAAAAGCAAGCACCAGACCGGTATAATTGACCAATCAGTGCCGCATGCCTAAAGAAAAATTACCACTGGAGTCCAAGAGAGAAAACGAACTCCTTCTCTCTACACAATGGCGGTTTTTTCGTTTGTATGTAGATTAATTCTAAAACTGCTAGATGGAAAGACGACCGAGCTCTGCCAATTATCCGAAACATGTCGTCATTATAGAGTTTTGCACAATCTGGGTTGTCTAAAAGATGTTGACCGATGGCAGAATCACTCATTTTAACAGTGTTTCTAGACCTACAAGATCGAGAAGGCTGTTCTCTTTGAGGGGCAGTTTTGTTTCTCATGTTGAAAGGAACTTGTTGTTTTATCAAGAATTGTGCGCTTATATTAATGTAAGGTCATTGTGAAGGCTGAGGAAGGACATAGAGCTAACACATTTCAAGTATAAATTTGAGTATAAATAGCCTTGCAAGGGGGATGTATCGCTTTGTATAAAAAAAGAATGCCTCCATCATTTCAATATCCATTCCTTCAATTCCACCAAAAGGGCTGTTTTGCATTAATTTGACACGTTGTTAATTGTTGATTTACAAATCATTTGGGCCTAGCTTGTCCTAAACTCTCACTATTTTGCTATCATTTTCTTTGAACAATTTTGAAATAATTTGTATCGAGAGACCATTTACAGTACCCGCTATTTTTTCTTTATAACTGCATCATTTCTTAAGTTATTATTGTAACTGTAATTCTTTCGAAAATCCTCTATAAATTTAAAAGAATTTGACTCTTTCTTTAGCCTGATTCTGTTCTCTTCGAAGAGAATATTTCAGCGTAAAGTTATAAGTTTGCAAAACTTAAATTTTTGATGCCATTTGGAATTGTGTGTTGCAATAATTTTGTCCTGGTAGTGTACTTCCTTTCAAAGCAGTTTCCTTCACTTTGATATAGTTTCATTTGCTTTGATACAATTCCTTTTTTTTTCGATGCTTTTTCCTTTTCTTCGATACCATTTCATTCGCTTCGATGCTGTTTCATTCGCTTCAATACTGTTTTTTTTTGTTTTGATACAGCTTCATTTCCTTCGGTGCTGTTTCATTTGCTTTGATATTGTTTCGATGCTGTTTTCATTCCAAATTTTCTTCGCCTGTTGATTCAAGTTCACTGTGGCCTCTTCCCATAAGAGACGCGAATGTTACTACCACACAATAGATTGTGTGATGCCATTCGCTAAACAACGTCATCGATTTTTCCTGCGCATGTGCACATGATGCAAAATTTTGATAGGCAAAGCCCTTTCAAACAAGTACAGGTTTTTTTCCCTAACAATTTTTGCTTCAAATTAACCACGACATAGGGTGCTCTCATCCGTTAGCATTCATGTGACACTTAATCAGTTCTTGTGATATTTGCTTTTTTTCTTTTTTTTTCATTTCAAGTCTATGCTTTCGTTGTTTTTTATCGTCAGTGATGTTAAACAGTCATCAATATTAAAATTCTTTGCCGATACTGCATTATAGAAATCCCAGTTTAGTTTTACTGTTTTCTTTTTTCAGTTGTCCTTAGGTATACAAATTAGATTAATTGATATGTATTAACCTTGCGATGTTACTTTTGACCAGGTACGCAAAAATTTCTGCAACCTTAAAGAATGTGGCTCCTCCATTGCGTCTTGTCTGGTGGAGAACACTTGATCACCTTGGAAAGACCCCTAAAAGCAACGAAGGCTATACATTGACTCTCGAAGAAGCGTTGAATGTTTGCCAAGCAACCGGTAAGGTTTTTACTTATTACTTCTTGTCACATCGCTGGGACACGAGGGATCATCCCGACCCAAATGGTGTGAAGAGCAGGATTTGTGCCGATTATTCGAGAGTGCGAACGCAAACTTTTAATGAAGAGGTTTTTTATTGGATCGACTATTCTTCCATTGACCAGGAAGGCATGGCCCCATTTATCGCAGCATTGCCACTATACTGCTCTGGTGCGCAAATTATCATGGTTCCTTATAACGAAGAGTATGAAGACCGAGGCTGGTGTTTGGTAGAGAGGCTAGCATACGCTGCTTTGAACGGTCCGTTGCAGTTTGTTTGCGGGATGAAGTATGTTGACCATGCGCAGCAAAAAGGGTGGAGCCAAATACAAAGCTGTTTCACGTATTTTGCTGATTCAGAAGGACTGCATTATTCCTGGCTGAGACCACTTGCTAATCCAGCCCTCGGAAAACTGAGTTTTGAGCAAGATCGTCCGTTGATTAAAAGCCTCTCCGAGGTTCTGCTGCGTCAATGGGGGAAGACTTGGGTTCAAGGGAGCCGCTGGCCGCCACCTGGGGCTTTTGACCGTTGTTCGACTACAGCTAAGGGCCCTGTCAGATGGGGTGTGACCACAGTTAATGTTATATTGATGAGCAAAACTTGAAGACAGTCTTCTGTATTTCTCAAAAAATCCCTATGCTTCGTTTACAAGTTTCTTTTCAATATTCAAATCTTTTTGTAAATGAAAGGTAACCTCCTAGACCAGAATCGTTTTTGAAACTCCCCTACACCCTTGGCTCTCTGTGTGTGTTAACATTTTGGGCACCAAGTGCTAGTATTGTCTGTAATGTCAAAACTGCTTGGATTGGATTGCGATTAAAGTTATAGCTCCTCAATTCTTAGCAATGGGATAATATATCGACTTCTCTTTATCTACTTTCTAATGTGAAACTACTTATCTACTTTCTACTTATCTACTTATCTACTTTCTATGCGTAACTTACTTTTTCAACGTTTTAATCTCATGTCTTAGCAGACATTTGGGCATCAGTTGCTCTCTCAAAAATACGGCTAAAATTATATCTATTTTCCAATATTAACACACCGTATTGGACAAGATAACAGAATATTCTGGTTTGTAGTGCTTTTGTGGTCTAGCACAGTTGCTTTAATCTTTACCGATAAAAATCCAGGAATGTTCTGCAGTTGAAATTTTGCACTTCTGATTCCAAAGATATGGCAACTGCTTTTTTAGCCCTGTGTAGGGGCAAAAATCTTTCCTGCATCTTTTAATCATAGCACTTCCATGTCTTTGAGATGTTTTTTGATTGTGCTTTATCTAGGCCAAGAGGGCCTCTAGCATACCACAAAACGCCTAGAGTGGATGCGGAGACTACCCTTGTGTACCAAACTGAACACAGAAAAGCTTAGATACAAATATATTCGATACATTCGAACCTTGATGTCTTCCATAAATCAGTTTTGATTTATGTACCACTAATTTGAAATATACACTGTTACGTTCTACGATGATTGTCTATGTCATGCTATGTATATTAAGGTCTTTTCACCATCACAGGAATTATCAGAAAAGATGTTCTCCTCTTTGCTGTGTTCGTTTGATTCAATATCCATTTTCGGGGAAGTGAAGTTTCTGACGAGAAAATTTCCGATTTGACCTTTGTATTAATCTTTTTTATTCCTAATCATTTGTCACGCAAGAAGCGTGTTGATACAATTTTGCAATTGTAAATAGGTGTTAAATGTGTTTAAAGGAAAATCTGTTCACAGCAAACTTGAAAAGTCTATCACATGCATATGAACCAATCAAAGAATCTTATTATTAAAACCACGATAAAAGCAAAAGTAATACAATTGCAGTCATTTCTTTTCTTTTATAAGAACCAGTAAATTTAAGTTCAGGCTGAGTGTTCTCGATTTTTTTCTCGAAAATCTGAGACTGGATTGTTCTTAATTCGTTCTTAAATTAATTGGATGTAAGCAGTGCAATTGCTAGTTTTTTCGCTCTAGGGAGCTGCCCAGTCGCTCTTACCTTTTGACCAACTTTGAGGCTCCTGTTCTTATAAAATTGTTCTTATGAAAAGAAAAGAGTGTAAATGTGAAAAGGGAGATCTGTATTTGTAAGCAAAACTGAGTATTCATTACTGCTTATTTATATTCATTACAACTTCAAGTTGATTATGCATTTCTTACACATTTTGCCGGGAGGTATCATGAACCAGTCTCAACCGACGTCATCCTATCATTGTTTACATTGTTATCTTTTTGACCATAATAAAAATCATTTTAGTCATTATTCATTCAGGATTATAGCCGAAAAAATCCTGCTGAAACTTTCATAATTTCAGTTACAGACTCCAGAAAGGTTGTCAACCTTCCTCCGGCTTATAGAATATTACTATAAAACCTAACTCGTACCTAATTGTTAAACAAAGGGCGTGGTGAGAAAATCGGGGTACTCAACTAGTCATGATCCCCTCTCTTTGCAACTCTGTCTTTCCACAAAATTTTTAATAACTTGTAGTTCGATTTCAATTATGAATATTTTTGAGACAGATTGAGTGTTGTATGCTTATATCAATTAATAACAAAAGCGCGTCTTAATTTAAGTATTTGAATTATTAAAAGTTATTAACAACCTGAATTTTTTGAACACCAAAAGGCGATAAAATTTCTTTAACCTCCTACCTTCCTTCGGCTATTGGCCGTGGGGCGGGATTATTTTACTGACTCAGTGTGCTTTGTCACATGAAGTTGATATGGGGGTGCTAGTAGCTGATTAACTAATCCCTGGCGCTACGATAGCTTTATAGATTGGTATAGATTTTGCAAGTCTCTAAACGCCAGGAAGTCAATGCTAACCAGTTGTACGGGTTCGGTATTGGTTCATGCTGTCCGATTTATTTCCGAACTTCTTTAGTTTAGTTATTTCTATGTGACAAAAGTGGAGCCAATGTTTTCATCGTTCCCATACCTATATCGTCCTTATTTTCAGCAAATGATATTGTATCGTCCTCAGGAATCGTGCGATATCTACTCTGACGTCAGCAAGGGTATATTCTTATTTGCGCTTTTTTGTTTTGACTGTATCACATATTGTAGTTCGGCATACTCGGCCACTCACATGATTTGAAGAATTTATTATCTCGCTCTTCTGCGATAATAAAGACATTTTAACCTGTTAAAGTATTCTTTTACCTGTTATTAAGTAAATGCTTTTTTGAAATGACATTAAGGCGCAGATACTTGGTTATTAAAAAGTAAATTAAAATTCAATATTGAAGTTAAGTCTTATGGTAGGCAAAGTAGGAAGTATTTGCTAGTGACAACAAGTGATTATGCCCGTGGCAAGATTAAGGTTAATCTGAAAAATTTTATTAGAGTCGTCCACTCAAGAATTATTAGCCTGGAGGAAGTAATGTAATTCTTAAAGCAAATATCATTAGCCCACCATCCAATATCGAACTGCTTAAGGCTGAACTTGGTAAATAAAGATACGCAAAGAAGGTGTACGCTGTAAGATTCGCAAGAAGGTTCACGTTTGGTTACTATTTGTTGTGCGAAATTGCACTTTGGAGCTGTGCTTAAAGTATCGTTTGACTCTGTTCCTATCAAATATACTTACACATCTTAAAATCATTTTAATCTGAATTTCGAAACTTCCTTCCAGAGGTCTCTTTGTACCTCTATTAGAGCCCTGCTATCATTTTTTGTCATTTAAAAACCCCAGTTTTGTGCAACTGGACCCATAGTTAACTGACACGAATGTCGAAGGGTGGGGGTTTTTATACGTCATACTTCTTCAGGCGTTTTCCTCGAGATAACGGTACTTTTACAATATGACAATGCATGCATTTTCATATGTCTTTGCTTTGAAATTCGTTGTCAAATGTCTCCATTTTCAATCGTCGTTTTCAACGGAAAGTGATTTTACAGTCGGCTCCGCTTATAATCACCCTGCTAAAAGTCACACTACCTGTTACAGTAACAAAAAATTAGACTCAAATATGGAGTACTACTCAATTAAGCTCCACTTACAGTCACACTTCGTTTTGCAGTCGCAAATTTTCAAGCAACATTTGGTGTGACTATAACTGGGGTCTATTGTGTGTATTTTTACGCCAGTGAAGGACAATGCTGTTCTACACAAGAACCGTGTAAAGCTCTGTTGCATGTGCCGCGGAGTTGCAACTCTAGAATGTCCTGTTCTATACACCAAATCGTGAACCACTATGCATATACAGCATCGAGCAGTTAACAGTTAAAATAAAGTTTTTCTAAAGGTTTTACTCATGTTATCAAGATTTTAGTTTCTTTCACTCCCATTTGGGGCTCTGCCTACGTGTATTACAGCATTGTATTTGGTTTGCTAAGTAGAATAAATAAGGCAAAATTCTTCTATTTATGTGAACATCTTAAGCCATAACTCAAATAAGCAATACTTTTCCATTTTTATATTAATGCGATTGTCTATCCAATTTGGATATTTATAACCACAAGGAAATGTTTTGCGCAAATCTTGAATCAAAGTATGTGCTATTTCAGTTCTCTCTCTTATTTTTAGCTCGTTGCCTTCATGGTTATTTGCAGCCGATCAGTACGGCGATCTTAATTTAGATTTGTTACTGTTTTTAACCATTTCCGACCAGTCGCGCATCATGGATTTCCATATGATCTCCGTCATTAGTCGCAGCATCTCCACGAAAACATATCGTTTCGCAGCCAAAAGGAAAAGAGGTTACTGAAAAAACCTCATTATTCCAATGTTATTGTGAGTTGCCGATTACAATGCCCTTTGCCCCACACTCCGTATGCTCACATAAGGCCCATTTTCTTTGTCAACTTTCTTGACAAAATGGCTCTTATTATTCGTGTCGCTATGCAGTACTACTTTTCAAAAGGATGTAAGTCCTTCTCGAGAAAACACTTTCGAAAGAACGCTTTTACCTGTATTTTCAACTGGTGGATGAGAAAAGGAATTTTAGTTCTTTTTGGCTGGGGACTATGGCAATGCGTTCCAGATTTGCTGCCAAAAACTGCAAATGACTATTCGCAAGGGTTCGCAAAGGTATTCTGTGGAGTTGGAGATCAGGTCGTCTAGTAAAATAAGGTGTAGTTGAGATCTGCATTGCACTTAACTTGTCTGCTACAATGAACGGCATGAAATCATATGAGAAACGTAATGATATTGAAGAGTTATGCCTCTTTCCGCATTAAGAATATTTTTCAGGCAATGATGTCAAGATTTTTCGGACAGGAAAAAAGTTAGTTGAAACTCATTTCACATAATAGAGTTTTTGCGATATTTGGTTCAACATTATTATGATAATTTTCTTTGCGAAATCTCGCTGTCCTCTCAGTTTTCGTAGCTGTGATGAGGCCATGGACGGGTAAAACATTAAATGCCTTAACATGAAGCTTGGTGAGAAGTCACTGTGCACAATGTGGCGCATATCATTGAGGAAATTCCAACAACCTACGCATTTTTTTTATCTGAAATGTTAACATTTTACAGAAATGATAATTTTCGATGACCTGGTAGCAAATTTCGTATAGGTATGCGTAGAATTCATCTTATTTGAGACATATGGAAAACCGATTACGGTGCTAATCCGCACAGAATCGTCGCACGGCTCTGTTTAGGCCAGCGCGGCTGGACCGCATACCCTCCAAAGCAGCCAGGCAGTTTTCATTAAGAGTAAGGAATTCGCCCAAATAAGAAACACATTTGCAGGCTAT